CCCCCCCCCGGGACAAGCTGCCTACAGCTCCGTTATGCTCCCTGACCCAGCCCTAGGTCCCATTCATCACCTTTGCTGGGCAGGGAGCCAACCTTTGGAAAGGCTTTCCAGCAATCTATACAGCAGATCATTTTAGTAGTGAGGCAGTTACCTCAGCAAAAGAACTTTTTTTCCCAGTATATGTTAATTTCCTGGGCAAAAGGACACTTCTGTTAGTAAAATCTGCATTTACCCTAGGGCTTTTAGGAGTGTGCTTCCTTCCCCCCATCTCCCCCAACTCTTAAGGGTTTTAACAGACATTTGTCCCTGTGTTTGACTGGACTTAAGCCACTGAAGAGTTGTGTACACACATTGTCCTGCCAAGCATCACCCTGTTCCATAGCTCCCTCTCAGTTAGTAGTTGTCCTATGAGAGCGTGGATCCTAATGTGCCCAACACTTGTCTAGTGTCTGGATGTTCCTGGGGATTCCCCGATGCACTGGAAAGTGCCCTTTGGGTATTTGGCTAGGTAGGAGTGACCAGGACTGTGGACTGCAGCATGCCCACCACTTCTGCTTCTACTACCACCCTCACTATCCCCCCTGCTGTGACCACTAACATCCAGATACCCTCTTGCTGAGCCTGTATGTGTTTCTTGTCCTGCAGGCCATTGTCATTCAGCATTGGGAGCTTGTGGGAGAAATTTTCCTGGGAGAAATGTGATGCCTGTTTATTGCCTCAATGCTCATATCTATGTTGTGAGAACTTAAGGGTGGGCCAGACATGGGGCTTCTTAGAGGCTTCATGACCATTTTGTAGGGTTCATTTTGGTTTCTGGCATTGTAACAGGGAGTCAAACCTCTCTTATGAAGAATGGAGAAGAGACTGGAAAGTGGGCCTGACCACTTCAAGACCAGGCGTGGCTGAGTAGGCCACATGATTGGAAAGTGGGGGGGAGGGCTACGAAAGAGAAGCTCCCCAAGGAGGGAGAGGGGGGCAGTCAAGCCCTGCCTTTGAGGAAGGCTGTATTGTCCCTATTGATTTGAAGGGGAGGCCTTAGTCACTGGAAGTACCCCAGATGGGAAATAAGTCTCTGTTGAGGGTTTTCCTTTGTTCCTTATTTTTCAGACACCAAGTCTGTGGGCAAAACCTTAAGTTAAGATGGTGTCCATTTACAGGGAAGAAATTTGAGGTTTTTCTCTTGTTGTTCGATGGACACCTGGTGGACTGGGAGCTGCAAAGCCCAAGGTCCTGAGTTATAGCCTCTGGAGGGCCAGAAGCTGGGGAACGGTTGAGAGCCAGAGCCAGATGGACTGGGAGGCACGCAGTGTTTGGAAGACCCAGGACTGAGGCTTGGAGGGAAAAGGCCAAGCCCCAAGGGGAGCCGGTGAAGTGACAGCCAGGACAGGAAACCCAGGGAGCCAACAGTTGATGGACAACTTTGCCTTGATTTCCTCTGCTTCAGGGAGAGGCAAGACACCTTTCTGGTTAACACTTATACTATTTTTTTCCTAGCAAGGGTGCGGCAGGAGAGTGGGACCAGCAGGGTTCTGCATGGGTCAGGGATGGCACGACTAACTGGGTGGAGGAACCCTCCACCGGAGTCCTGTCTCGGGCATTCAGGAAAGAGAACTTTAATATGCCTCGTTAGATGATGATTTAATTTACTTTTTCTTCTAATGAGGTGAAGCATAATATAGCTTTAGCACAGATGAGGTTTAGTATAACCCATATTTGAGAATCAATGTATTTTAAAAACATTAGTATTGAATAACCTATTTCAAATACGATGGTCAAAAACAGCAACAATGAAGTGTGTGTATTTGCAAAAGGAAAAAGAACTGAAAATTAATCAATTGGATTTGAGAGATTACAGCAAGTCCAGGAGGGATTCTTGGTTTCTTCCTGGAAACATGCTATATTCTTTAATGTAAATCAAGACATACTTTTATGTAAGAAATTTGTCGAAAGGAGGCAGGGGGAATAAAGTTAGAGATGAAGTAAGTTTTCATCTTTAACACAGCCCTGCCTCGGAGTTAGGTGTTGTTTTCTCCTGGGTCTGGCTTTGATAGTCTCCCTCTGTAATTGCTGGTGAGTTGTTTTAATGTCGCTACCTCATTTTAAGGGGTGAAAATACTGACATCATAAACATTTGGCAGAGAGTGAAATAAAAAAATACCCCTCAGGCGCTAGATGTTTATATTTTTCTGTAGGTGATCTTCTGTACATTTCCCATGCCCATAGAAAAGCCAAAAGCAACAGCTACCAGAAATCAATATTGAAGAGATTGGGATTTACTGTATGAGACTATAATGTTTTGACCTTAAGTATTGAAATATTTTTACACTTCTGGATTAAAATCTTTAGGAGTCTCTCGATAGCTCCACACTTTCTATAATCATCTTCCTGGGCAGCATTAAGACTTGTGGGGGTAGGGGGAGGTTTATTTTTAATTTTACCATATTTTGTTGTACATAACATACCCTCAAACATAACATACACTCTATTTCTGAAAAGGCAGCATGAAGGAAAAAAAGATCTTGCCTTGGGTAGGTAAATGAGTAGCAGCACCTTAGGGTGCCACGCCTGCTTCTGAGCCTGCTGCTAGTCCTGTACTTGGTATGGGGCACATGGGGTGTTGGCCCAGTTCAGCACTCCAGGTCTGGGGTAGAGTGCTGATCTCCAAAAAGTCTGAAAACTTGGCCACAAGGGAAAGGCGGCGTCATTAATCCGTGCTACTGCTGCTCTGTGGCTGTGGAATGTCTGGACGTGTGGCATTCTGTATTTCCTCACATATATTG